GGAATTCTCAGAAATTCAGAAATTCAGAAATTCAGAAATTCAGAATTTCAGAATTTCAGAATTTTAGAAATTCAGAATCTCAGAATTTCAGAATCTCAGAATTTCAAATCTCAGAATTTCAGAATTTTAGAAATTCAGAATCTCAGAATTTCAGAATCTCAGAATTTCTGAATTTCTGAATTTCTGAATTTCTGAATTTCTGAATTTCTGAATTTCTGAATTTCTGAATTTCTGAATTTCTGAATTTCTGAATATCCGAATCTTCAAAACCGAAACTTCAATTTCTTGGTTCCGGAAATTCCGGAAATTCCGAAAATTACTGTAGTTTTTAAGGATAGCTGTAGTTTTATGATATTTTTTGTAGTTTCGAAGGATTACTGTAGGTTGATTATTTCAAAATGTTGGAATTTTCCGAAAACTCTGAAAGCTCGAAAGTTCAGTAAATTCAATATTTCCGAAAAATTGGAATTTCTCANAGCTCAAAAGTTATAGGAATTCAAGTTCTGAAATTACCGAAAACTCAGAAATTCCGAAAATTCGAAATTTCGAAAATTCTGAAAATTCCGGAGAAACGAAAAGAAAACAAAATCTCAGGATTTCAGAATCACATTCCATTTTTCATTTTATTTTATAAACCTCCTTCAAAATCCAAAAATGTATTCTCTTTTTCGAATTTTTCGAAATTTCAATTCTTTGTTCTCTTTCTTTTTCTCAGTTTTCACACAGGGTCTCCATTTTTTTTCTGATTTTTCCCATTCTCTTTCAGTTTTTGCTTCCCATAAATTTATTGATATGCGAAACTATAAAAAGCTGCCCTTTTTTCCCTTTTTTCCCATTCTTCCCAAAAGATGCGTCCCTGGTTTCTTCTCCTCCTATTTATTGTCGCTTTTTCAATCGCCAATGCTCAAAATGAAGAATATAGGAAAATGACGATGTGGATTATTGAAAGACAACTCTTCTGGCTGAAAGTGGCAATTAAGGAGAATAATTATCCACAGATTGTTCGTTTGTTTAATTTCAAAGGGGGTAGGTTATCAAAAAAGGAAGAATCAGAAAAAATAGAATTTTTAAATTCATTAGGTCTAGTTTAATCTGAAAATCTTGGATTTCTAAAAATGCAACCCGAAAAGTTAGAAATAATTTTTTTTTCGAGTTATATTGTTTCTTTTAATTCTGAGATTCTGAAAATCTAACATTCTGAAATTCTGAAAAGCCTAAAAATTCTGACATTTTGAGATTTTGAAATTCAGAGATTATGAGATTCTTAGGTTCTAATATTCTGAGATTCTGAAATTCTGAGATTCTGAAATTCTGAAATTCTGAGATTCTGAAATTCTGAGATTCTGAGATTCTGAAATTCAGAAATTCTGAAATTCTGAAATTCTGAAATTCTGAAATTCTGAAATTCTGAAATTCTGAAATTCTGAAATTCTGAAATTCTGAAATTCTGAAATTCTGAAATTCTGAAATTCTGAAATTCTGAGATTCTGAGATTCTGAATTTCTAAATTCTGAAATACTGAAATTCTGAAATTCTGAGATTCTGAAAAAGAAACCAATCAAATGCCCAAAACAATAAAATACATAGCACTGGGTTCAGAGAAGCGATTTATCTCATTTGGGAAGTTTCTTATTTTTTTCAACCTCAATTTTTTATGCTCAAAAGTCTCAATTTTCAGCGGAAAACGTGACCGGAGTGATTGAGGAGTATAAAAACGTCGAGTTCCATGTCAAAACTCTCGAATTCAGGAGTACTATCCGGAAAAATCTAATCGAGGGATATTTGAATACGGTGAATCTGCTCACAAAAGAAAGACGGCAATATGCAGTATTTTTGCAAAGAGTGAGTTTAGGAATTTGGAAGGATTACTGTAGTTTTGTTATTATTTCAGAGCGCGAAAAGCACAACCGATTGGCAAATTTGGATGAGATTAATGTCGGGTCCTTTGGATCGAACAACTCCTTCCCCTAAAATTTGAATTGAATAAATGTTTGTTGCATGATTTTTTTAGATTTAATAATTCTGGGATTTTGAAATTCAGAAATTCAGGAATTCAGAAAATCACCAAAAATTGGAAATTCTAAGATTCCGAGGCTCTGAAATTTCCATATTCTGAGATTCGCAGGTGCTGAATCTCTTAAATTCTGAAGTTCTGGAAGTCGCAGATACGGAAATTTTGAGGTTCTGAAATTTCGAAATTCTAAGAATCAAAGATTCCGAGATTCGGAAATTCTGAAGTCCTGAAATTCTGAATTTCAGAATCTGATAATCTCAGAATTTCCGCATCTCAATTTCAGATTATAAGTTTACAAGAGTTTCAAGTTCTTCAAATCTCCTGAAGTTTATGAAATCCTGAATATTCATGCCTCCTCGTTTTTTGATAGTGTTTTAGCAAATTCCAATTCTTATTTCCATCAATTGAAGATTTGGAAAATTTTGAAAATTTGAACAATCCATTAAATTTTTAAAAACTCTGGTAAATTATAAGATCGCACTTCTCTGATTTATCTATTTCAGTCTATTTTAGGAAGTCATAGACCAAACTACACTGGTCATTTTGCCCTCACACACAAACCAAAACGCAATAAGACTAAAAACTGAATGTCTTCAGAAATAAATTAACTTCTTCACACTTTTTTATCAGAAAAAAGAGAATATAGTGTCAAATGGAAAGGATCTCTCCTTTTCTTTCTTTTTCTCTTATCTTCTCACCTGTGGCTTTGCAAAATGGATTGTTTACAGGTGGAGAAAAGAGAGACAGGTGTATCATAAAAAGAAGAAGAAGAAGAAGAAGACGAAGGGGAAGAATTCGTACCGGTAAGAAAGAAAGAAGGAGAAGAAAAACACGTGGTGGTCGAGAGAGTGGACAGAAGATGACATCATGCATTTAGGTTCATACCATCAAAAGTTTTTTTTGTATCTCTTCCTCTATTTTCTTCTGTTTCTGTAGTTATTACGTTTTTGATTTTCGATTTCTTGACGAAAGTCTTGTCTAGCTTTTTTAACTTTTGGGTTTTCTAGAATTCTGAAATTCTTAAATTCTTGAATTTTAAAATCCTGAAATCGTGAGGTTCTCAATTTTTGAATTTTTGAAGTTCCGAGATTCTCAATTTTTGAGATTCTGAAATTGAGAGATTCCGAGGTTCTGAAATTTTGAAATTCAGAGATTTCGAAACTCTGAAATTCTAAGATCCTGAGACTTTGAGATTCTCGGATTCTGAGATCCTAAATTTCTGGAATTCTATGATCCTGAGATTTCGAGATTCTGAATGTTTGTGATCTCTCTCGAGATTCTAAAATTTTAAAATCCTGAAACACTGAAATTCTGCAAAGTCTCAGAGTTTCAGAATCTCAGAATCTCATAATTTCAACATCTCAATTTCAGAAAGTTTCGAAAATTGTGAAAATCCCAAAATTCCATACTTGTAAAATTCCGGGCCGGGCCTGAGGAAAATTTCAAGGCCCGGAAGGCCCGGTTGCTAAAATTTTTGTCATTTTGAATCGAATTTTGATCCCCCTCAATACAATTTACTATATATTTTTTGTGCTTTTTGGATTGTTTGTCTGTTTGATCAAAAAATATTTTTAAAAAACTCGAAAAAAATTTTTGATTGAAAAAAATCACATAAGCGTCCCCCCTTATGTGTTTTTTGAAATTTTCAAAACTTGTCGAATGACAGGCCCGCCGGGCCGGGTTCTGAAAACTCTCTGAAAACTCAGAACATCCTAAAAATCCAGAAATCCAAAATTTCTGAATATCGGAAAATTCTGAGAGCCCGAAATTTCAGAAAACCCGGAAAACCTGAAAATCCAAAAATTTGCAGAAATTCTGTTTGTCTGAAATTCTGACATTCTGAATTTCCTAAAATTCTAGAACTCGAAAATTCTCAATATCAAAAAAAAACTCTGAAAATTTTCAAATTGAAACATTATTAATTTTCACATTTCGAAATTGATTTTATGATTTTTATAACTAATTTTTTTCTTTCCTAATGTTTTCAGAAAACTCAAACATTTTTTTTCAGAACCAACAATGTCAATAAAAAATACACTATCGAATCCACTCACTGGTCTTGCAATTGTGATCTCATTTTCCCTAATTGCCATTTTCGTCGCCGCTTATTTAACAGATTTGAAGAAAAAACAGGCAAAAACTGAAGTTGCAACTGCGATTTCAACAATTAAAGTTTCAATTGAAACTGTTGAAAAACTGAAAGAATCCGAAGAATCTGGAAATAAGAAGAAGCCAAGAAAAATATGTGATTCTCCGGAATGTATTACGTTATCTTATCAACTGGTAAGTTAGAATCAAAGTTTTGGAATTTTAGAAGTTCTGAAATTGAAAAACGCTGAAGATGGAGATCGAAAATTCTAAGATTCTGAGATTCCGAAATTCTAGAATTCTAAAATTCCAAAAAATTTCAAATTTCAGCTAAACTGGAAAGATCCAAACATTGATCCTTGTGAAGATTTCCATAAATTTGTATGCGGAAAATACCCAAAAGATTCAGAATCCAAGAGTTTGAAATCTATTGAAAACGACGAACAAACTGTTCAAAAAATTTCAGGTAACTGATTTTCTGTATAATCCGAGAAGCAACAAAAAATTCAGATTTCCTGAACAAAAGCGACGCAAAAGATTCCAAATCTGAAAATATCATGCAACGCTACTACAAAAAATGCCAAGAAGATTCCGAGAAAAATCTGGAAACTTTTAAAGAAACTCAAAAACTATGGTACCAAGAATTATATGCAGATATTCAAAAAATTGGTACCTGGCCGAGTGCTGAGAAAAATTGGGATGAGTCCACGTTTGATTTGAATGGTGAAAAAATTCAATTAAAATGTTTTTCAAAAATTGAAACCTTCCAGAAATGCTATCAAAGATGGCCGAATTGAATTTAATTCAAGATTTTGGGCTTTTCAAATTCGAAATAGATTCAAAATCCAATAAAATTTTGAATCTGGTGGCTCCAGGAAGTTTAAGATGGAATAAGAAGATTCTGGAAGGAATTCTGAATTCGAATGAGATTTCTTCAGAATCTCTGAATCAGGATCTGAAAGATGTTGAAGCGATTTTCAAGAAAATTCAGAATTTGAAGAACGAAAATTCAAATTTCGAAAAATTTGAATCCTTAACTTCCCATATTCCAAGTATTGATTTCAATAGGATCATTAAGAATTTAGCGCATCAAGATGAAAAAATTGAAGAAAAAATGAAAGGGAACATTAGAGTTGGCAGTTCGGAACTATTTTTCGGGAAAGATGAAAATGTGAGACTTTCCAAACTAATAATATCTAGAATTTCTACAATTTTCAGCTCGAAAAAATCCTAGAGACAACTCCCAATCGCACTTTAGCAAATTTCTTGATTTTGAAAATCATTCAAGAAGCTGTCAAAGAAATTCCGTCGGATTTCAGAAGTTCAAAAACTATGGATTGTGGGAAAGTGAGTATTTTGAAGTTAAAAAACACCAAAATTTCTTCCAGAGTGCTATCCATTATTTCCCTCAAACCGCCGTTAAGATACTTTCCAAGAATTATGATGATAAGAATGAAAATTTGAAAATTGTCTCCGAAATTTTCGATGACGTCAGAGAATCCTATGTGGAAATTATTAAAAACTCGACGAAGATTCCGGAAGAATCAAAAAATGAAATTTTGGATGAATTGAAAAATATGGAGAAGAAAATTGCATTTTCAAGAGAGGATGATGATTTGGATAAGGAACTCACAAAGGTATTTTTTATTGAAATTAGGAAATTCTGAAATTTTGAGCTTCTAAAATTCTGAAATTTTGAGCTTCTAAAATTCTGAAATTTTGAGCTTCTAAAATTCTAAAATTCTAAAATTCTAAAATTCTAATGTTCTGAAATTCTGAGATTCCGAGATTCTGAAATTCTGAGATTTTGAGATTCTGAGATTCCGAGATTCTGAGATTCTGAGATTTCGAGATTCTGAGATTCTGAGATTCTGAGATTCTGAGATTCTGAGATTTTGAGATTCTGAGATTCCGAGATTCTGAGATTCTGAGATTTCGAGATTCTGAGATTCTGAGATTCTGAGATTCTGAGATTCTGAGATTCTGAGTTTCTGAGATTCTGAGATTTTGAGATTCTGAGATTCTGAGATTTCGAGATTCTGAGATTCTGAGATTCTGAGATTCTGAGATTCTGAGATTCTGAGATTCTGAGATTCTGAGTTTCTGAGATTCTGAGATTCTGAGATTTTGAGATTCTGAGATTCTGAGTTTCTGAGATTCTGAGATTCTGAAATTCTGAGATTTTGAAATTCTGAGATTCCGAGATTCTGAGATTCTGAGATTTTGAGATTTTGAGATTCTGAGATTCCGAGATTCTGAGATTCTGAGATTCTGAGATTCCGAGATTCTGAGATTCTGAGATTCTGAGATTTTGAGATTCTGAGATTCTGAGATTTCGAGATTCTGAGATTCTGAGATTCTGAGATTCTGAGATTCTGAGATTCTGAGTTTCTGAGATTCTGAGATTTTGAGATTCTGAGATTCTGAGTTTCTGAGATTGTGAGATTCTGAAATTCTGAGATTTTGAAATTCTGAGATTCCGAGATTCTGAGATTCTGAGATTTTGAGATTCTGAGATTCCGAGATTCTGAGATTCTGAGATTTCGAGATTCTGAGATTCTGAGATTCTGAGATTCTGAGATTCTGAGATTCTGAGATTCTGAGTTTCTGAGATTCTGAGATTTTGAGATTCTGAGATTCTGAGATTCTGAAATTCTGAGATTTTGAAATTCTGAGATTTTGAAATTCTGAGATTCCGAGATTCTGAGATTCTGAGATTTTGAGATTTTGAGATTCTGAGATTCCGAGATTCTGAGATTCTGAGATTCTGAGATTCCGAGATTCTGAGATTCTGAGATTCTGAGATTTTGAGATTCTGAGATTCTGAGATTTCGAGATTCTGAGATTCTGAGATTCTGAGATTCTGAGATTCTGAGATTCTGAGATTCTGAGATTCTGAGATTCTGAGATTCTGAGATTCTGAGATTCTGAGATTCTGAGATTCTGAGATTCTGAGATTCTGAGATTCTGAGATTCTGAGATTCTGAGATTCTGAGATTCTGAGATTCTGAGATTCTGAGATTCTGAGATTCTGAGATTCTGAGATTCTGAGTTTCTGAGATTCTGAGATTTTGAGATTCTGAGATTCTGAGTTTCTGAGATTCTGAGATTCTGAAATTCTGAGATTTTGAAATTCTGAGATTCGAGATTCTGAGATTCTGAGATTTTGAGATTCTGAGATTCCGAGATTCTGAGATTCTGAGATTTCGAGATTCTGAGATTCTGAGATTCTGAGATTCTGAGATTCTGAGATTCTGAGATTCTGAGTTTCTGAGATTCTGAGATTTTGAGATTCTGAGATTCTGAGATTCTGAGATTCTGAGACTCTGAGATTCTAAAATTTAAAAAAGCTGCGCTTCTGAGATCGTACAATTCTGAGGTTCTGGGATTCAGATTCTGAGACTCTAAGACTCTGAGATTCTGAGATTCTGAGTCTCTGAGACTCTGAGATTCTGAGATTCTGAGATTCTGAGATTCTGAGATTCTGAGATTCTGAGATTCTGAGATTCTGCAGATTCTAAAATCTTAAAAAGCTGCGATTCTGAGATTCTGAGATTCTGAGATTCTGAGACTCTGAGATTCTGAGATTCTAACTATAAGATTCTAAGATTCTGAGATTCTGAGATTCTGAGATTCTAAGATTCTGAGATTCTGAGATTCTGAGATTCTAAGACTCTGAGATACTGAGATTCTGAGCTTCTGAGATTCTGAGATACTGAGATTCTGAGACTCTGACGTTTCTGAGATTCTGAGATTCTGAGATTCTGAGATTCTGAGATTCTGAGATTCTGAGACTCTGAGACTCTGAGATTCTGAGACTCTGAGACTCTGAGATTCTGAGACTCTGAGACTCTGAGATTCTGAGACTCTGAGACTCTGAGATTCTGAGATTCTGAGATTCTGAGATTCTGAGATTCTGAGATTCTGAGATTCTGAGATTCTGAGACTCTGAGATTCTAAGATTCTGAGATTCTAAGGTTCTAAGACTCTGAAACTCTGAGATTCTAAAATTCTGAAATTCTGAGATTCTAAAATTCTGAGACTCTGAGATTCTGAGATTCTGAGATTCTGAGATTCTGAGATCTCTGAGATTCTGAGA